TAACTAATACATGTCAAGGATAATCATATTTGCTTAATGAGTCACTAATCATTATATATATATATATATATATAAATAAAAAGAAAGAACAGTAAGATATATAATCCAGTGTTCTTAATTGATATTTTTATTTTTACATAACAGTGCTCAACATAAACATTATAAATTAACTGATTTAAAATATGGTTTCTTTGCTACACAGGAATTACCATGTTTCAAAAACCGAAGCTAAAAACTTCAAATTTAATTATATAATTAAATTAAAAGCATTAGTTCTGTTTCATCTTCAAGTGAATTTTGGAATAACTTATTTTTAAATTTACTGAGTTTTAAAAGCACATACAATTCATAATTTTTTGTTTCCAACGATACAGAGAAATCCAATCATTTAGACAGAGGCAGTAGCATGTTCATTTTTATTAGCTCTTATTGTATCAATTATGAGTTACATTCAAGAAAGAGGTTAAGTCTAGGTAGGGTAAGGGTGCATTTTTCAACAAATTTTGACATCCATTCAACGCATGTCGCCTGTTTTTTTTTTATCAATGAGAAAAAGTTTGTTGGCATTTCCATTAAATTTGTATATGTATACATAAATATTCTTTCAAAAAGGGGTGTTTGGGTTAGAATATGTTATATTGAACTACAATTTTAAAATATTATTTTTACTCTTAATTACTAATTGACTATATTTCTTTTTAAAACAAATAAATGTAATAGAATTACTTAATTACTTTGTAATAGAATTACTTAAATTACTTAGAATTACTTAAAAATTATTATTATGTATCAAATATAAGTATGTATATTACCAGCTCCCAATTTTTTTTTTTATATATATTATTTAAGGAAAATTTTTGACAATGTTGGCAAAGAATAGCTACTTCATTTTTTGATTCAGTAAATTTTCATTTTTATAAACTTAGTAATATATAGTTTCTCATGTATGCACAAAGGACATGGATCATTTAAAACCTACATATTCTAGCTTTTCTTATTAATTTCCATTTTACTGTAGGTGTTTTATTGGTTTCTTTTAAGTGCCAGAAATATTTCGACAGGGATGTCTGATTTTGGTATTTATTTATCCTAAATGAACTTTGATGTTGATTGAATCTCTTTTTGAACTCATCGCTTGTGCAACATTTATAGATTTTTATGTTTTCGGGATTCTCAATAGATGAGATATTGCATTGGTATACTAATGATTCCGTGCTACATTTATTTTGTAGAGGACATAATTTTTGTTTATCTTCATCTCTTTATTTTTATATTGTCTAAATTTCTTTGGTTTTTGTCTAAGTGTTTATTCAAGATATCAGCATTATGTTTTTTTAATAATTTGCTCTAAGTTTTCAGTACAGCTGTAACTTAATTTTAGTGTATTTTTATTGAAAATAGTACTGAGTTTAACGATTAATGCATGGGATTTTTGTCCTAATTTATTCTTTACCATTTGGTTGTATGGGGGTGTATACCAAATTATTTTTCTACTTCTGTTTTTTCTATGCTTTCCATTCTCCATCATATGCTACAATATTCATGGGAAAATTTGAGGAGACCCATATCTATCCAATCATTGGTAGCGACTGCGTATTCTATGCAAGACATATCGATGATATATTCTTTGTATACACGGGTAGTGATGACAAACTTACCCAATTCTTTATGACCCTAAACACAGTGCACGACTCAATTAAGTTTGACTATGAAAAATCCACAACATCAGTAACATTTTTAGACACCTGCATTTACATAGATGAAAACAGGAAACTACAAACGACACTACACACTAAAATCACCAACACCCACAACTATCTACACTTTAAGTCTTCCCACCTAAACACCTTCAAAGAGAACCTTCCCTATTCACAAGCACTTAAACTCAGAAGGATATGTTCCAACAATGAAGAATTAAATAAACACATTGAAAATCTGGAGCATCAATTCACTACACATGGCTATAAACAACACCTAATCAGGGAACAAATAAATAAAGCAATTTCCACACCTAGAGAAGACATCCTAATGTACAAGATTAAAAAATAAATCTAGCCGCATTCCTCTAGTAACCACTTTCAACCCCACTCTACCTCCACTATCCCAAATAATCAAACGTCGCTGGGAAATACTACATCTCAAACCAGAAAAAAAAAAAAATTGTTTAAGGAACCCCGCCTTCTTGCATATCATAGACCTAAGAACCTAAAAAGAAATCATAGGTAGTAACCACATTTCAGGGGACAAGGTAATCCATAATAAACTAAGAACAAAAACAACAGGATTTTCCCAACCATGTAACAACAAAAGAAGTTTATGTTGCAACCATATTAAACACACGAATTCATTCACTAGCTCAATCACTAAATCTACTTTCAAAATCTACCACGATTCTAACTGTAGAAGTCATAACATAATTTACCTCCTAGAATGCACACTATGCCAGAAACAATATGTAGGAAAATCTGAATGGCCCTTTCACTACAGAATTAATAATTATCGCAATCGAATTAAGTCGACTCCCCATGAAAAATTATTACCTGTAGAACAACATTTCTGCCAGGAAAAACACGATTTCAAAATTCATGCCAAATTCACTATAATTGAGAGAATAGAAAAGTTCAGAGCAGATAACATTAGAAAGATTTTAGAGTTCCATGAAAATAAGTGGATACAACGTCTAAAAACACAATATCTAGCCGGGCTAAACCATAAATTTAACAATATAGATAGTACTAATATATAACTCAACAAATCAAAACCTACCCACATTTCTCACCCACACAAGACAGACATGCTTACGGAGGTGTTGAGGCCTCACACTTATACACACACTCACACGAATATATACACACTTACACACATCATACTCACTCACTCCCTAATGAGCCAAATGATAACACACACCCACAGCAATACACACACTTACACATACTCACTCACTCCCTAAGAACCAAATAACACACACACAAACACTAAACAGAGACACATCCCCTCTCCAGGACCAATAAAACTGTCAAACTGACCAAAGGAATTCAGAGAAGCATAGATCCATCCAGCTCTTATCTCAAATAACAACTTAAAAGAGACTATTTGACCAACACAAGGAATGTTAAAAGATTCATGTTAAAAAGATAAAAAAAAAACAAAAACAAATGAAAACTACAGACAAAAGTTCATTTTCTCCATCAAGACATTCATTTCTGTAGTTTACTGCTACCAGCAAGCAGAAATATTTCTTCTCCTGATGATGGCCATTTTGGCGAAAAACTAATCGAGGAATCTAAATGAAATAATAATAAAAAAAAATGAAAGAATATTAATCTACAACCCAGTGTGTCTGAAGATTTTAATTTTTTTATTGTTCAATATATATATATATATATATATATATATATATATAAAACAAACCAAAGTATTGGTAAAACTTGCAATTTTGACTCCACCAACACAAAGCCTGCCTGCTAAGTGACAAAAGAAAACAAAACTAAAAACCAAGGACCAGTAAATAAAGAAATCAGCAAAAAACCAACAAAAAAAAGGGAAAGGAAACAAGTCGAAAAGAAAAGACTAAAAGATAGACAACTAACTATGCAATAATACACAGTGCTTAATGTCTAAATGACCTAGATAGAACAAACATACCTAGCCATCTGGTGGTGTTGCTAATAAGCATTAGAGTTTGTATGTATATATATATATATATATATATATATATATATATATATATATATTAGGATTGTATACGGAATAAATTCCAATAACCAACAATTACTATTCTTAAAGAGTGCTCAATACAGAGTAAGTGAATATAATTATTTTTCCTAAAATTATAACATAAATATGTTATAAAATCACTACAAAAATAGCCATTTTGTTTCAATACCTCTGATGTCTTATCAAGTGATGATGTTGAATATATAATAAAGGGTTTATTATATATTCAACATCATCACTTGATAAGACACCAGAGGTGTTGAAACAAAATGGCTATGTTTGTAGTGATTTTATAACATATTTATGTTATAATTTTAGGAAAAAATAATTATATATATAGTGCAGTGGCTGAAGATAGGGGGTCATGGAGGGGTAGCTGCTCTGTGGCACATAATCATGGGGTGCAAAATTGCTCTGGACTGGGAGTGAATTGCAAGCAAAATTTTCCCCTTCCAATATTTTCACAAAAACCCTGTAAAAATCTTTCCTAACTAACTAGACCCAATCTAACCAAACTTAAAAACTAAAAACAATTAAGACCAAGTTAGATTAGGGTAGACCAAGGTTTAACACATTTATTGGCAAAAATATCAGGAAATGAATCCAAAAAGTGGTGAAAGAGGACCAAAAATTTTCTCCTTTTTATTTACTTTAATACCTTTTTGTGACTTCCTGCAAATACTTATTTCATTAAGGGTGCATCAGGAATTCTTTGCCGATAGTGCTCAGTAGTTCTTCGATCATGCACAGTGTGGATGGAAGTGCATGATGACCAAAACATGAAATGGATTAAAGAAACAACAAAAAGTCTTTTTTCATTTTTCCCTTGGTTGAGGCCATATTGAAAACTAATCCATATTAATTTTTAAAGATATATTCCTAGGACGGCAAACCTAGTGTTTCTTTATAAAATAATAATAATGGTAATTTTCTCCTTGCCTTAATTGGTAGATCAGTGAATATATAAAAGATTTAGACATAATGATCTTATTGTAACTCAGTGGTTTGTAATTTGTTTTCTGAGTTTCATTGGAGAAAACATGTTAAACTGTGAAATATTTTTTTATATATTAATGAAAGTCTTATGTTCACAATTTTATATTAACAAAATATTGAAAGATGTAAACTTTTAATACACATATTTTTAATATAATTTCTTCAGTCTGAAAAGAAATTATATTGCAACTTTCAAGTATAAATTGAAGTTATTATAATTTATTTTTGTAAAACAAGTCATCATGCTCTAATTAATACAAAGAATGAAAAATTATCATAAGAATTACCTTTGGTTGTTTTCTTAAATTGGGTGATAACTTCAAGCAGGTAACATCTCCTCTGAAAAAAAAAACAATAATCACTTTTCAAAAATTAATCTGTTGATTGATTTTTCTTTTTTTGCATCTCTGACTTTCTTTTATACAGGAATGGATCAATAAGTCCATAGCTTGGCACAGTTATTTGGTGAATTCTGATCTGATATTTTCACTAAATCATGTTCAATCTATGTGATTAATGGCTTAAGTGCATTGACAGGGAAGTACATTGCATTGAAAAATAAATATTTGTTATGCAAAATAATAATGTTTGTTATCATTATACCTAGATTTACAAACACACACAATCAGTTATCGTTGTACTAAATTATATCACAAAAATATACACATTGTTTTGCGTAATGTTTAAAAAAAAAAAATTTTGAAACAATGATTTATATGAACTTTTATGTTCATAATAGTAAAACTATCAGATACATTTTTTCATGAATTTTTTTGCTATATCAGGGTTAATTCTATTTTTAATTGGATATTTTTACTTAAAATCATGTTTTGAGAATTTAAGCAAACACAAAAATCTACTAAAGGTTTTTTTTTGTTTAGTTTTTTTTTTTTTTTAATCGGTTTCACCCCATGCAAGGCAGCAATACCACCAAAACACAAGGGCTATAGGGTGTGGAAGAATTAGTTACAGAAACATTAGTAATGAGTGGAAAGAGAAAATAGTAATCAAGAGGACAGTAGATAGCAATTGACATTGCATCTAAATTTTTGCAGATTAAAGTTGGCTTGAAAGCATGGAGCCGGAAAAGAGTTCCACAAGAAGGAGTGTGAAAAAGGAATCTGTTAGCATAGAATTTACAGTTACATTTAGCCAGCTCAACTGTAAACTGATAAGATTTAGACACCAGTCTAGTAATGGGCTTAAATTCAAAAAGTCTAGATACCATTGCAAAGAACTCATCTGAACAATTAGCATAAAAGTATTTATAGAAAAGGAGCAGGGAGGCAACCTTACAGTGGTGAGAAAGTGACTGAAGCCAAGCTACCAGATCAGGATTGATAAATATTTAGCCACTTTTTTATGCTACCATCATCAAAAAATAAAACAAATACAAAAAGCAATGCACTTGATTTACTAAAAGTCGATCTCATAGTTTTGTAAATATCTAAAAATTCAGATATAAATAAAATTGTAGTGACACTGGCAAATTAATATGCCTAATTTGCATAAGTGCAAGAGAAAGCCTATATAGCTCGTCACTGAGAATAACGTGGCACAAAGACAAGCTTAGCGACTGACTAGTGCTAAACTTCAACTTCACATCAATGGCGTCGCAGATAGGATCCCATTTGTCTCTAGAAGATTCAGATTTCGTAGATGCATGGATTTGCTGTTTTTCTGCCAGTGTGAAAAGTAAAAAGCTGAAAGACAACAAGGAGAAGGGAGGCGAAAATGAAATTACGGATTTATTTTTGGCTACAGCTGGATGCGAGGTGATAATGAAAGTCTCTACCATGGCATATCCCACAAACTTGGAAGACCTGACTTTCGAAAAAAATAAGTCAGATTATAAGGAGAAATATGAGACCCATGAAAAGTCTGGTAGTGGCAGAAAGAACAAAGTTCATGTCGATGAAACAAGAAATTGACGAAACAATTATAAAATATCTACACCGTCTACGAAATGTGAGTAGATATTGCGAATTTGAAAAACTTGGACAAGACGAACAACTATTGAAGAGGACTTGATTCAATTAAGGTTAATTGAAGGTATGTGCAATGCATCACACCGATATAAAATAATGGAACAACTACAAATAGGAAATATGTCTTTAAATACATGCATTGACTTTATACAGCAACAAGAATTAATACAGAAATACAACTATCATAAAAGTCAACTCAGCGAACAAATATTCGCTGATACGTACATGTTAAAAAAGATAAGAAAATGTTCATATTGTGGACGTGAACACAAAATAAAAAGGGAAAAATGCCCAGCATTTGAAAAAACCTGTACAAATTGCTTTAAAAAAACCACTTTCAAGCAGGATGCAAATTCAAAAAGAAAAATGTTTAGTAATATTATTACAAGAAGGACATCTGATAATGTATTTATCAAGAAGACTAATGAACACCAAATTTAATTATTCAAATATAGAGAAAGAAGCATTGGCTAGTGTGGACAACTACTAGAGTCCGACAATTTTTAATTGGGAAAAAATTTCTGTAAAGAAGTGATCATAGACCATTAGAGTTTATATTTAACCCAAGGAAAGAATTACCCAAAGTCACGACATCGAGGATACTAAGATGGGCAATGAGATTAATGGCATTTGACTTTGATATAGAATATGTCAAAGGAAATTCAATTCTACACGTAGATGCACTATCAAGATTGCAATTTTACAAGGAGTCAAAAGATAAAACAGAAGAAGAATTTGAAGATGCATTCTTCCATTGGGTAGAGACTGCTGTTTTGTCTTTAGATAGAATGGCTGCAAAAACTAGACATGATCCAGTACTAAGTAGGATAATATCGAGAATAAGAAAAAACTCATGGGGAAATTGTTCTCGGGTGGAAAGACCCTATAAAGAAATAAGACAGAAATTAACGATAGAACATGGAGTGATTTGTAATGGGAACTGGTAGTTCCCCCAGAAACACAAAGAAAATTGGTAATAAAAAGTGTACATGATGATATACACTGTGGAGTAGCAGCCACACAAAAAAGGATAAAATTAGAAGCATGGTGGCCGGGATATTCAAGAGATGTTGAAGAATATATAAAAAGGTGCAAAAAATGTAAAGAATTAAGAAACTTTACACAGACTACTTTACATTCGTGGCCCAGAGAAGTGGAGCCATGGAGTCGGGTGCATATGGATCATGTGTATATTACTGGAGTGGGACTCTTATTAATTCTAGTAGACTCTTTTTCAGGCTGGCCTGAAATAATCCAGGTGCCAGACAAGAAAAGTTCTACGATAAAACAGATTCTAAGGGTCATATTTTCCAGAAATGGCATACCAAAAACCCTGGTATCTGACAACGCACCAGAATTTTGTGACAAAGATCTTAATTTATGGTTAGAAAAGATAGGATGTAAACCATATAAGACACCCCCATATCACCCTCAGTCGAACGGGTTAGCGAAATGAATGTTGCAGGCCGTAAAACCGAGGTTGCTTTTAAGTTATCACACAATACCACACGCTGGAAGACTAGAAAGCCCATCAGTTTTAATGGGAAGACAAATTCGAGCTCCGCTAACAATGTCGTATTCCACAAATGAAAAAATGTGGTACAAAAAGAACAAATAAGCAAATCCGGAAAGGGCAGAATTTATCATGCAAAAAGGCCACAATACAGCTATAATAAATAGATGAAAACGGCAACAGTGTATTAGCCCATGCAGATCAAATAAGGAGCCAGGGTGAATACGAAGAGCAAAATGATGAGGAAATGTCTACGATTCCATCCGTTAATGATTTATTAGAACAACCGTTACAGAATCAAACATCAGAAGATGAAATAATGCAGGATCAAGTGGGCCAGAATGAGTTTGAAAGTTCAGATGAAGATCAAATAATGCAAGAAAATGCCTATGATTACAGCTTAGCACGGGACAGATCTAGGTTTCCCAGAAAAAGAAATACAGGAGACAGAGAAGTAGAGCAAAGTAATGAAACTATCATGAGAAGAAGTACAAGAACTACTACAGGTATAAAACTTATACGTTTCAGGGAAATGTAGTGACACTGGTAAATTAATATGCCTAATTTGCATAAGTGCAAGTGAAAGCCTATATAACTTGTCACTGAGAATAATGTGGCTCGAAGACAAGTTTAGCAACTGACTAGTGCTAAACTTCGACTTCACATCAAAAATATATCTGTAAAAAGACAATATGAATAAAGGTAAAAGGAAAACTTTTCTTTACCAATACATTTCATCCTCTGAAGGACTTTATCAAGGTAAATGTAAGGATTTTATTTTAAATTTTAAAATTTTGAAAACCTAACAATATTTAAAATAAAATACATGTTGCAAAATAAAATCCTTACTTTTTACAAACATGAAATTGAAGGAATGTATGATAAAGCAGTTCAGAATAAATATTGATTGTTAGTTAATTTTGTGTATTTTGCCTGTATTAAAAACTTTAGCACTCTGCATTATTATTATTACTTCCCTTTCCACTGTATTCTTTTTCAAGACTTTTCAATTGCAGTAACCTTATTGTTAATTTCACTCAAAGGTGTTTTCTGTTGCCATAGCAGGATATGACAACACAACTATGATATTCAAACAAATTCAGATTTAAGAATCAGAGTTACCTTCAGTGGCAGGATAAACCTTTTGCACAGCAAATGAAGTGATACAAAGTGATAAAGGTTAATTTGGGCAATATGCCAAAATTATTTATTAATTTTTCTAAGTAGTATGATCAATTAAATAAATTATATTATGTAAACAAAAGCAAAATAAGCTACAGACAGCATATAGAAAACTATTTTTGTTCAAGCTTTGAATTAATCATTTAAAGAATATTTGAAAAGTCAAAACAACCTCACAGAAAATATTTTATATCTCTTGTGATTAATTATATAGATTCAGTGAAATCAAATGTAATCAACCTTATGAATTAATTATAGTCTTTTAATGATGTATTCGGTTATTTTTGTTTTTCAAATGAGGTAAATAAACTTTCCTCCGAGTGTGTATAAAAAAAATAAAGAAAATAATAGCACATGAAAATATAGATTAAGGAACTAGTAAAGAAAAATGTTTTGATTGTTATTTAAAAAGAGAGATATTCATTACAAAAGTATAATATTTGGTATTTTCATTTTCAATGAAAAAAATGATTTTCAAATCTTATTATAATTGTGCTTGTTTTTAGTTAGTTACTTAGTTCGTTTGTCCATTGCTCTCTTCAGTACTGATCTATATTTGGTGTCTCACTGGCAGCAATTTTCAAAGAAACACCCACACTCACTCCAAAGCAGTTAGAGGAGCGTCCATTTTTATCAATTTTTTCTTCATGTTTTGTATATATATTATTTTGTATTTCTTTTGTGTATGTACCTCCATTTTTTTACCAAAAAACAGCATAGCTCAAGAGTAATGCTTCTTTGTAACTATCCAGAATGGACTCTGCAATGGTACAAGACTGGAAGTGGAGGCCATGCATCAACATTCAATTGAGGCTTCCTTGATTAGTGACTCACTAATTGGCAGAGTTGTCCTCATCCCCAGAATAAAGCTGGTGGCTCCAAGCGACTCTAACTTGCCATTGGAGAGAACCCAACTTTCCTGTCCATTTCTCATATGCCATGTCTATTAACAAGTGACAGGGGTAGACATTTGAAAAGGTGGTATTGTTCTTACCTCAGCCAGTATTCAGTGACAGGCAATTGTATGTTGCATACTCTAGAGCTTGCAAACTGTCAGATGTAAGAGGTAAGGTGATGGAGACAGACAGACAAGGAAGGAGAAGACGGCAAACTGTTACTAAAAACATGGTCTGCTGAGAGATACTGACTTGAAGGAGTGGAGTGTTTTCAGAAATTCTGGAGACGCTTGATTGCATTAAGTATGTGTCCTGAGTTTATATATATATATATATATATATATATATATATATATATATATATATATACAAATGTAAAAGAATGAAAAGTAAAATTTCTGTGTTCAAAACATTAATTTAAAACAGGGCTCAATACAAAAGTAGAGTGATAAATATTTATTTATTATACACTGTTACATTAGAACATGTACATATTCACATACATATATTTCATAAAATATATCTATTGGATGCTTTAGTAGACATCATCAGTGATGTCTTTAGCCAAGGTTCATTAGGGGCTTTGGGTCTTTCAACATCGTACCCCTTCTCCACAGTGACCTAGCTGATATTGATAGGGTATCAACTTGTGTACCTTCCACCAGCTACAACTTTTTGCATCTTCTAAAGTGCACACCATATGACTCTTCTTGGCAATTTATTGTCCAATCCCGGATAACTACCAGTTCACCAGCAGTGTATGTTCTTCCATAAAAAAGGAAGGAAACACAGCCACAATTTATATCTGATCAGGAATATGGCGGCATGCTAGGCTTGAAGTGATAAGTACAGATTTGATTACCCACCAAGACATATACACACACATGCACACACAGAGAAACGCACTCAAACTTCACATTTTGCTTACACTTATCCCCATTTTCATTCATGTTAATCATCCAGCGAAGGAAAAGCAAAAGGAAAAAAAATTATTTCCTTTTCCTCCTTCCCATTTTTTTCCTGACCCTCTACCTATATGAGTTATACACATGCACACACACACACACACACACACACACATACATACATGCACAAAACAAAAAAAAAAAAAAAACTAAATACCATAACCCTGGTAGGGGGCAAACAGGTGGTGGATCCTAGCCAGGGATCACCTGTAGGTAACAATGGCTTGGGTACACTAATTCTGTCCCCTAGTCGAGACTCCATTGTTGGATGTAGTTTTAGGTCATACCCAGGACCTATATATATATATATATATATATATATATATATATATATATATATAAATTAAATTAAATACACACACACACACACACATATATATGTGCATGTTTCATTAAAAACGACAGACAAGGTACTATGGTTAAGCTTTTTATTTAATTTTTTTGTGTTCTACCAAGAGCTTTCTTTTCTGGACAAAGAGTGTGTAAGAACTGTCCAAATGTTTTATATGTCCGAGCACTTTCGGCTATACCTTTAGCCATTATCAAGGATGATTCGATTTTTCAGCTTAATTGAGTGTGTGCATTCTGTGTATGTCTTAGTGTGTGGTAGGGATTTTTTAATTTCCGAATATGGTTAGCACAATGTGGCTTTGTTTGTAGTTAATATTGTTAAGATTTGGCCTTTTCTTTTTTATTATTAAAGCTTCCATTATTTTTAATCATTTTTGGCATATTAAATGAATATCTTTCAAAAGAGAAAACTATTTCATGTGACATGCATTATATAGTTTTGTACATATATAGGTCTATTATTTTCTGTATTCATATCAGAGGAAACTGGCATGGTTCTATGTTGGGAGGTGGGAGAACCACGGACTGATTGGCATTGAAAATCTTTGTGCACATGGTGGACACTGCAAGTGTTGTTTATGTGTTGTTTATTTTCCCAGTCTATGAGTATTGTATGTTAAAAAATGATAGATTTAATAGCTAAACTCTATGTATTTGTAAATATAACTGTACAAATATATGCAATTTTACTATTTGCTGCCTAAATATCTCATTCTATCATATATTGTTCAATGCATTATTTTTATACATACATATATGTAGAAAACTTTTTATTGTTTACTCAACATTCAATTAGTTGTTCTGTGGAAATTCCATGGGTCCTGCTAGTGTATATTAAGGTTCCAATTAAAAAAAAAATGTCAGAAACTTTTGTATTGACAGAATAAATTGAATTTACATTCCAATGGATGGAACAAATCCAAGTAATCCAGAGTTTGTTTTTAAATTATTTCATTAAACAAGAAGTTAAGAAACAGCTATTCCCTTGCACAATTCCTTTCTTTATAAGCAATAAAAAAAGGTTCAAAGTGGATTCAGTCAATTTGCCAACAGGAAGACAGAAAATAAGAGATAGAAATAAAGATAAAAAAGATGAAGAATTAAGCAAAATTTAAATGAAGATCACAGATATTATAGCATTATCTGAATAGGTTTATCAGATATTCTAGTTTTGCTGCAGCTTTCCTGGCTTGAGGGATCTGCCCCAGTGATATTAGTATTCATTTTTTGGGATTAGCCTTGAAGCTTAAGGGGTTTCAGGTTATGAAAACACTTTATTATACAAGTAAACTAAACCTATAATAAAAATTGAAAATTGTATTCACTCGAAGTTTCAAAAGTATGGTAGGCCTTATATAGCAACCAAGTCCAACTGCAGTAAGAATCATAGCCATTGTGAACTTCATGATCCATTCATAAGCCTATAGAGAAATTTATTTATTAATGGAATGCTTTAACTAACAAATGTTATAAATGAATGAATTTGTTCATTAATGAGTAGTAGAGAAAAAAAACAAACCAAAAATAGGTAGCCACTAATTTTAACCTATGTCCTGATGTCAGTTTAAGTCTTCTTTTTCCATATATGTAAACTATAATTTGGTAAGTGAAAATTTCTGTGAAATATGTTGAAAAAGTTACATGTTTTCATATAAAATCAAGAAAATACAACATTAAGCAAAATGATCATAAATTACAAAAAGAATGCATCAGTTTAAACTGACACCAGAGAGAAATGAGTTAATTTCCTATTGTAATGTATTTGGATTTAAACAAAAATTAGAATTACTTTGATTTCTTATACACTAATATTTTAAGAATAAAATAATAAATTCAGATGAAGTTGTTATAAAATTAAATCAGAAAAATTATTTATCAAATGCACTTGACAATAGTAGAAAATTTAAGTATTTGTTGGACAAGGAAAACCTATCAGGTCATTGAGATCACTTATAATGGCATATGGAACACCCAACTTGATAACAATTGCATTACCATAAATGTTTCTTGAACAATAATATATCATGTTTTGTTCAAAATTTGCCAATTACTTTAGATATGTTATTTTTAGCATTTATTTACTTTGTTATCATCTTACCTGTCATCTCCAACAATGATGATTGGATCATGGGCATTGAAGTCAATGTGGGTCAGTTTGGTTTTCTTCTTTTGGACAACAATTTGGTTACACAGTGGATCATATTTATTAATACTCAGATCATAGACAAAAACCTGAAAGGCAAATACAACTAGCTGATTAAAAGCAATGCTTTGCATATATTTGTGCATCTTGATAGGAAATATTACTTATTATAATATTGTTAATAATTTGTTCATAATTCATTTTATAACTTTAGAACCTTTCCAAGAATTTATATAATTAATATTGTATTTAAACTTAATAAACAAAAAACAAATAAAATATATCAATTGCCATTAAGTAAAAGCAAAATAGTTCTGTTCTTTTGTTATAATCATTTTCAATACAACAAATATTGCCAAATATAACAGACAGGTGAAAAAGGCCAAAGGGTATAATAGCAGAAATGCCATGTCTATAATAACCAAGGACATGACTTTTAATAAATTCCTCATTTCTGAATAAAGATAAAAAGAAATAGCTAAAATATAACTACAACACTCAAAATGAGGACCCCATTCCAAATAAATGTATAATAATGACAATGGCTTACCTCAGAAATAGTTGAAATGTGATGATTATAACAGTCTAGATGAGGACACCATTTTGAATAAATCCATCGCAGAAATTCAGACCAAAATTATTATTATTGTTCTGGTAGATTAGTTTTCTAAAAAGAATTTCTGTTCTACTTCTATTAGGAAACCTATTACAAGTTTCTATGATTTGTTCTTTTCAAATTGAATAGACATCTAATTCTTTCCAAGAGGTAAAGTATTTTAGGAGTATGCAAAAAAAAAAAAAAAATTAATATATATATATATAATATATATATATGTATATTTATTACTCCAAATATTATTTTTATGGATGTGTATTTGAGTAGACACTCCATTTTATTTTAAGCAGTATTTATTTTGTCTACCAGTCTGTATACTCAAGAAAATTTATTGAAGAAAATGTGCCTTCCAGCAGGATTTGAACCTGTGTCCCTCTTTTACAGGAGAAACCAGCACGCTTTAACTGCTTGGCTATCAAGAGCTTCACAATCAAGCAAGGCTTTATTTGCTTTTAAAGCCCATACACTTGTTCAGATTTTCTTCAAATGGCATATCTGCTCAATTTCATATCCCAAAAATAAACAAAGTAATTTCTAAAATATTAATGGATTTTATTTTTGAATCCAACATATTTTTATTACTTAAAAAATTTATTTTTAGTGAATACCCATATTTGAGTAGATGCCCTGTTTTACTTTAAACAGTATTTATTTTGTCTACTGGCCTGCACACTCAAGAATATATATATATTTCCACAGAAATGATGACAAAATATACTGCTTGGTTCCTGTATATAGTTTTCAAAAATAAAAGTATAAGTAATTATAAATATCTATCTATCTATCTATCTATCTATCTATCTATCTATCTATCTATCACAGTCAGTTTGTATATATCTATCTCTATCTACTTGCGTTGGCTTTTCTTTGGGTGGGGCCATCAAAAGTATTTAGTCATGAAAATATTTTTGCAAGCAATAAAATGTTTTCAGTTTTAGTAAAGGCAGGGCTTCAAAAAATAAACTTTGGAGAAAATACTCCATCTCAAAATGATTTTATGCAACTATCTCCTATCAGGATTTTAACATACTTGTAAAATGTATACTAAGTAGTATAAATATATAAACATATAAAGGGACATAAAATTTAAAATATTCAAGATATATCTGGTTAACCATTAATTATTAACATAGGTAGAATTCTGTTTAAACTTGTGTTCTTCATTTCATTGTGAGTGTGTATGTGCATGTGAAATATATTTGTTACTGATGATTTTACAAGTACAAATCTTTTAGGATTTATTTGTATATTATGCATGTGTTAATTTATTCATATTTAAAATTCTATGGTTGCACATTTCATCTTGAGTAAATTCATATTTATCCAATCTAATCTATAAACTTTCCAAATGGTTATCTACATGAGACCTGTAGTGTCAGTTAAATACATAATAATAGTTTATATTCTCATTTATATAATTCAAAGATTAACATGAATAATTTATGAGCAAATGAATAAATAATTTCTTTCTCTTCTTTTTGCAAATTTCTTGTCCTGTTCCAATGCTCTAAATCATTTTCATTCTACTTACTCTGCCATCATCTGTGACTGCAGCAAACACCGTAGAAGAATAAGGAGACCAAGCTACGTCTCCAACAGAACTGTTTAAATCAAAAGTGAACAAGGAATCCCTGGGGAAAAAACGAAAAGAAAATCTTTCATATCAAACTTTTTGAGATGAGGAATTATTATTATATGTCATGTTATTTGAACCAACATGCTCATCTTAATTGTGATACATATGTTTTGACCATTGGCCTTCTTCAGGTGGTTGTCATAATGCTTGGACCTTTTTTTTACTGAACCCTTTATTCAATCCATGAGGATAGATTGTTCTCATTCTGCTTTCCATGCTTAATATCAGTTAATAATCCCCAGTTTTATTCACCTTTTTATTGCATGTCAATTTCTTCCACTGAAGCAGAGTATGTGACTATTCAACATTATCAAACCCAGGAACTGCACACAGAATATCAACATCTTCATGATGTTATCTATTGGAACCCTTGTGTGCTCTCTTAGAAAGGGATCTGATTCTAACTTATCTTGATAGAGGAACTGGTAGTACCTTGCTGAATATGCATCCAAACTCACTGTCTGCTTGATATGAATAGGAACATCTTTGATGCTCTTACTTAGAATAGACAAGGTCATCCATTGGGCTGCTCCATAGCAACCACAGGCTTCATCCATTAAGCATGGTCTTCCATGATGGTCTTTAACTTTTGTGCCAACTCCATTCAGGAGTCCTCTAGCAGTGTGTTTATGAATGCTGCTACTACTTTTTTTTCTTGTTTTGCCCTTTCTTGGCTGACAGAGTATTAATTTGCTGGCAACTTTGCCATCATGCCAGATACAGTGTTCTACTAGTCATATCCTTCTTTGCTGAACCTTTGATGTTACCTTTGGTAGCTCACCATATAGTTCAGCATTTGATATGTGACTTGTCCAGGATACATTAGAAGACTTGCTTAGTTTTTAATAATTTCATTGCTACATTTGTGAATATTGTCAAATTTCCTACCATCTTTCTATATTTAAAAAATAATTAATCAAAGTAATCTACATTGTTTTGTTTAATAAGTCACTTGGAACTTGGAATCTCTATTTTCAGTTGTCTGTTTGTTTTGTCAACAGTGCATCAGCTCTCTGATTAATTTTTCTGGTTTATGTTCAGAGCTGGTAACACATGAACATTCATTTTCTGACATCTCTGTGTGTTTGCTTTGAAAGTAGACATTTATAAACCTGGTAATAACAGTGTCTAGATTGAAATTATTTGGTAGTAAAAGCATTAACATTCAATCATGAAATATTTACAGGACATAATTTCATAGACATACTACTGCAAAAAACAACAGCTGTGCTACCAATAAAGCTTTCATTAGAGAGTGACTCTTAGATCAAGCATGTTTTTTTTTTCAGGCTGAAGCATCAGTATGGCTAACATAGGTCATTCCAGCAGTACAATATCAACCATATTGATAGATTTTTGTCACAGTTTGGGAATGACTGATAAAATTGCAGTTTCATTACATATTTGTATGTGTGTGTGTGTATATATTTACTTAAACCATAAGTAATTTCCATATTGGGGAACCAATTGTAATGATGAATGTATCAGCTTCACATGGCAGTTAAAAATAAATTTGGAGCACACTAACATATCTTAGTTTTTGCACAACAGTAGCAGCATACACATGTTTGACAATGAAAAACTACATACAGCAAGAATAACATAGGAAAAGATTCTGGAACTTGTTTGGTCTGTTATTAGCAAACTACCATATTCATCTGACCTTGTACCAACTGATTATTACATTTTTTATCACAGCAAAATGATTTGATGGGTAAAAATTTCTCTAATGAAAACCAAGTGTTTGCCAAAAACCTTTTCACATCAAATGTGTAATTTTACTCAAAATGTATCAAAGAGCTGCCTGATAAGCGGCAATGTTGTTGCAAATAATGGTGACTATATCTTTATATATATATAATACTAAAAGTCTGCGATTACATGCTTGCATGGTGCATCATCAGTCTGGTGCATAATGATTTAAGTTTCTTTCCACCTGTCTTTAATGTCTTACATGGTGCATCTGTCTGGGATATAATGATTTAAGTTTCTTTCCACCTCTCTCTTTCCACATGTCTTTAATGTCTTACATGGTGCATCTGTCTGGGATATAATGATTTAAGTTAATCTGATCTAAGTAAATAAGATTTGAAAATACAAGTTGTCTATACAGTATTTTTATTTTAATTTTCTTCAAACAGACAATTTTTGTAATTAAAATATATTAAGTTAACGACAGACACAAAGAGATCCTGCTTTGCTGTTTCGTCCAGTTGTTTGTAGAGTAATTATTTATATTTCAGCTTTCTTTAAACAAACAATATTTTAAATATTTAAAAAATATTTTTTGCCATATTTAAAAAATATTTTCAAGTGAATAAGATTTAAAAATATGATTTGTTTATACATTAAGTATTTTTATTTCAATTCTCTTCAAACAGACAATTTTTTTAATGTTGAAATCAGCTGATATTTTATAACCTGAACCATCAGTGACCCAACAGGTCACAGGTAGTCTAGTAATTAAATAAAATGTAATTGTATTTTATTTTTTAAAGAGTAAAGTTGATAAACAAAAAAACAGATATTATTTATGACTCAACCTGATATGTGTGTGTGTGTGTGTGTGTGTGTGTGTGTGTACGTACTCTGTTCTCTCTCCAGACAGATATCCTGACAAAATGTTTTAGTATAGATTTAGAAAAGAGTGTGTGAGTAAGAACTTAGGAAAACCATTTCCTCTAAACTACTTTACAAGCTGAGTGAACAGCAACAAAAAATTGTTACTCCTAATTATAAACATGCCTCAAAAACCAAACTAGTTGCATTCCATCACTGCTAAAGATGCAGATAAAATGGTTGGCTCCCTGTACCATTCCAATAAGTATCTGACTTTTCATGCTATCCTCTACCTTTACAAGAGCCAAATAATGCCAAAAATGGAGTACTGTTGTCATATTTGGGTGGGAGCTGTCCAGTCCTCACTTTCCAGTCTCATTAGAGTTCAAAAGCATCTCTGAGTCCTTGTGGATGACAAATTATTTTCAACCCTCCAACACCTCTCTCATAGGTGAGATGTGGTGAGACTCTCATCACTTCCATGGAAAGTAGTCAGATGAACTACATTCCTTGGCTCTATGAGGTCTAACCTTAATGCCTAGAACCTGCCATGCCACTTACTTTGAAGATTCTTATTTGCTGTAAAGACATCTTAAGTGTGCGGGTTTTACATGTGAGTCAAGAGGAAGAACTCAACAATTAAAACCTCAAAACTCCAAGTAGATCTTCACAGATTTGTAGGACTTCAACAGTGCATCTCCATTCCACTCTCAGAGAAGGAAGATCATGCATGTCCATTAGTAGCTGCTTATCTCTGTCTTACTTATTTGTCCAAATGCATTGTCTGAGTCTCCATAAAGGGGTTTTATATTTATAAGAATTTGCATCTGGAACATAACATAATACCTACACTATAACTTCCTGCTATGTGTTTTTGAATGATGTCCAGAGTATTTCTAGCTCAGACCTTGATCTGTACTGTGGGTATTTTTGGGTCAGTCCATGTGAGACATATCATGTGAGACATATCACACTTCTAATTTCATGCAATTAATTAACTTTGAGGTGTTTATTCTTAATACAACAATACTCTGGGGACCATGATCTTTTATACATTCCACAACTATGACTGATATTATCTTAAATTTGACCACTAGATGACCACTAATATATTTTTCTCATATTCATAACACTCAGTAACCCTGAGTGAGTTTATTGCCTTGCTTGGTGTGAAAGGATTATATATATATCTATCTATCTATATATATATATATATATATATATATATATATATATATATATATATATATTCATTTAAAAATTATAAGTATAACATCACTACAAAAACAGCCATTTTGTTTCAACAATTCTGGTGTCTTGTCATGTGATGGTGTTGATAGTAAAATAAAAAGTTTTTAAAGAGTTCAAAACTAACCACTACCCCCCACTAGGGGGAATATTTTTACATAAGATGTAATAGCCAATCAAATTACAAAACATTCTATATACACACACACACACACACACACACACACACACATATATGTATACTAAAGAAAAACCAAACCAAAAACGTTGGTGGAAAAGACAACTTACCAAAACATCCTAATCAAGAGAAAATCTCGAACAAGGACAGAAAAAAGATCTAAAGGCAAATACCTACCTACTTAGTAAGGTGCCCAACATCTAGATTACCTAGACAGACCAAAAATGCTTCACAACGTCATATATATATATAATCAATTTTTATTAAAAGAAATATTTGAAGAATTCTCTCAGCCTTAGTGAAGAATTCATAATGCAAACCAAATTTACTGTCATTTATGATGTGAAGTCACTTATAAAAAACAAAATATTTCAATAAATTGATTTCTTTTGAAAGTACCATAATTTTAGATATTCAAATATTTGAATATTAAGAGTCAGAGAGAAATACAATGAGAAACATACTTTGTCTTTGATCCATGTTCCCAAATCTTCACTGTCCAATCAGCACTGCATGTAATAAATATCTTAGGATGGAACTTGTTCCAAGCAATCTTGTAAATTGCCATGTTGTGTGCAGTGAGGCTGTGTAGAACCTCTGTTGAATAGGCTTTTGAACAGGCATGAACATGACCCTCTTCTGTACCCACAAGGTACAAATAGTCAATCTGCTGATGAAAGTCAAATGTAGTGCCACATCCTGTTGCAGGAAAAGAAAAAAATGAACCTGAGATTTAGAGAATAAAGACAATATGGATGTAGCATAGCAATAATTTTATGAATATATATTTATCCTTAGTATTAAAAATTAGTATTATATATATATATATATATATATATATATATATATATATATATATATACTGGACTCACCAGTCAATTTCAACATATGAGAATCAAACAAAGCATTTCCTCGAAAATGACAGCCAGTCTACCCACACAAATCACTTGATTATAGTGTTGAAGTCTTGTGCAGAACCAACCACACTTTTTTGAAGAGCCGAATACAGAGAACTAGTGCACAATGTGTCACAAGGTCCCCAAACAACCCTCCACTGGTTTTGAATTCAGAGTTGTCCTTCTCCTAGACTGGTTGGCACCCAAGGATATAAAATCCAGTCTGTTCTGCTATTTACCCATAACTGGGGTGGGGGAGAAGAAGCGGACTCATACCTTTCCAAACTTGGCACTCCGATTCCTCAATCCAAGTCACTATCCTTTAGACCACCATGCCTCTCATATATATATATATATATATATATATATATATATATATATGCACACACATACACAATAACATTTTCTAAAGAATTAATGGGTTTAATTTTTTATCCAACATATTTTTATTACTTCAAACATTATTTTTAGTGGATACCCATTTCTGAGTAGATGATCCATCTAAATATACCCTCTATCAGGATTTGCCATTCTAACAAACTAAGCTTTCTTGGTGTGAAATGATTAAATCCAAAAGCTGTCATTCATAGAAATATGCATTTGACTAACACAATATCCCATCTACCTGAATAAATTATTTTTTATTATTTTATATGTCAATATGTATTCCTTGTCATTTTATGAATTTCATCAGTCTTTCATGCATTTGATAACTGTTTGAATGTTGATATCTGTTTCTATTTCTCAGATGAGGTATTGTAAATATTTACACTATTTTCATTGTTCAGACTATTGTCCTCATCTTTATTTTCACACTCACAAGATTTTGGCCATTGTATGCTTCAGCCTTCTTCATGTGATATACATTGGAATTTTGAACCTTTATTTCATTCACTGGGGTAGATTGTTCTAGTTCCATGTGCCATGCCTTTTCTGGATGTATCAGTTTCAGTTATTTACTTTTAGTAACTCAACTCTCCATGTTTTTGTTCACCTCTGCTGCTGCCAGGCATTGAACTAACATTTCTTTGGGTGGTCACTGAATTACTTCAACCAATGCTTTTATCCACTGGATAACTGGAACAATCTACCCTGGTAGATGAATTAAAGGGTTCGGTTTAAAATTCCAGCATATATCACCTGAAGAAGGCCTGAGTGTAGACTGAACAATGTAAATAGTACAAATGTTTGAATTTTAATGTTAATTGCAACAGTTGTTATTGCTCCTCAGAGATTTTCTTGACTTGATTAATGTCTTCCATCCTCATATGCATCTTTTTTAATGATGGGCCATGTCTTTCTACTGGATTAATATCTGGAAAGTCTGGGAGCCATTTCATTAATTTGGCATCTTTAAATCCATTGGGGGACAGTAGTCAAGTTTGCAAAATATATTATGGAGCATTGTCTTGCATAAATATACACTTTAGCTCAAAACTTCTTAGATCTGAACTGTATGTACCACTCAAAAATGTCTTGTGTAACAACATGCAATAATTCTCTGCATTTACCTAGATCCCATCATCAACACTGAGGGTAACATTGAAAATATTCCTCTATCTCCAACCTGTTGTCTTTTAATATGTACTTGATGGTGACTATTTCCATGATGTAACTAACCACTAGCCTATACATCAGTCAGATCCATCCAATATAGCTCTACATTCATTAGTAAAACATACTGTTGAGAAATCAGTTTTCATGTACTTCTTCATCCAATGTATATTTCTTTTTGTGATGTTTACCTTAAAGATAGTACTTTAGTTTGCTTTCATGCCTTTAGCCAATATTCTTAATATTCAGGATTTTTTTCTGTTTACATTTGAAATACTAGCTTCATCAAATATTTTCTTGCTAATCAATCTACTTTTCTTGTTTAGTCTTTTTTGTTGTTCTTATTTTGCCAATATTTTCAGTTTGTTTTTGACTGTTTTCAATTCAACTTTTTCATGATTTTCAATATTGTGTTCTGTCTATTTTTTTGTGGGTTACATCTTTCTTACCATGCATGGCAATCTTTATACATATCTCAAATTAAAAAATAAATATCAATAACTATACTATACACACACACATATATATTTATTCTTGTTAGTATTTTGACATCATATATCTCAGATACCACTGCAGAGTGAAACAATTCTTTAAGTACACATAAAGCAAATATCTAAAACCTGCAAACATACAGTTTAACAGAAAGATTAATTTGTAGCAATGTGCTTTCATGCCACTTCATGACACACAGAAAATGAAAGTTAATGAAATGAGCGAATCAAGTGAAATTTCATCTTCAAAAAATATATTTACCCAAACACAGTCAATTTTCTGCAGAATCAGCTAGTATTTGAGCTGTGTGCTAATGATATCCTTTGATAATAAATAAAGAAATGTGGATAAATATTTGTATTTAAAAAATGTAAGGGTTTATAAAAATGTTTTTTATGAGTTATCTGTAAAGACCGTCTGGCAAAAATAGTTGACAATTCCTGTTTTTATATCAGTTGGTAGGATCATAGAGCCAGCTTGGCACAGTGAAAATTGATTTGTTGAAAAATAAGCTTTTTCCTCACCAAGTTCTGATTGGCCAGAGTGATGGTGTATTTGAATTTACAGTTTTAAGATAATGAGTAGTCTTTGCCAAAGATTTCTGTTACAAGATATCTGAATTATCAGCACAAAATTACATGATGATGACTGGTGAATAAACCTAGATTAATGTATTAAAAAGAAAGTGCAACATTAATTAAGAAAAGAAAAATATTTTTAAATCCACTCACCATAAGTTGATAGCTTAGTACCATCTGGTCCTTCTGTCTGGACATCAGGAAGGGCAAGTTTTATCACATCCTGATAGATGAATTCATTCTGATAAAGCAGAAAAGATAATGATAACAAGGATATTGAAACAAAAGAATAAAACTTGATGCTTGTTAAATATGGAAATGTAGAAAGTGAAATAATTAAAATATCAGGACATAATTGGAATAATCATAATATTACTTAATCAAATTGTTAGACTTTTGTTTAAAGAACTTTTAAAAATGTACACAAAATTATTTTATTAAAAAAAAAAAGATGAAAAGGGAGAACCATAACAACATTAGTTGGTACTATGAAAGTAGGAACAAGAAAAAAGAAAACAAATAAATGGAATGAGCTAACAAGTTCATGCTCCTCACTCATCAGAGCTCAATAGAGGAAAGTAAAATTATTGTGTACACTAACTAAAAAGGAATAATGAAAAAGAAAATACATGCATATCAATAATATATTGAGATGAGTATATTTTAATAAAAAATCACATTCAGTTCTAACAACCAATCCTTACGTTTGCATAACGTAGGTTGTTTTGATTTAATGAAAATAGTTTCAAGGACTTGTAAATTGTAGCTGCAAATAAAAGAGAACATGTCCACACAGAAAGATGATGTGCAATTTTGATTTTTTTATAAGGTGTTCTGCAATTGCAGTCCTGGATGTAATAGAACACTTATGAAAATCATCTAGTCAACCCTTTCTAATAGATAATGGGACATGTTGAGTAATTCTCTTCTTAAGAATTTGAGTGGCCTTGCCTGTGTAGTTAGCTTCACAATAACATTTAAATTCATATATTACAAAACTATTTTTAAAGATAGGCAGGTTAAAAATAACATTTCCTAACACTGATAGAGATTCGTTTAGGGAACAAAACTCTTTTATTTATGGAACCTAGCAATCTTAGCATTAATGTTACTTATTTTCATAGTATCAACTACCATATCTCCTTCTTTTAATGGTGTCCATTTTTATTGCTTTAATAAAATTTTGTAGCTTGATTAAGATCTTCAAAACTGAATTAATTCCACTTAACCTGCAGATTATTAAAGCAACAATAATAATAGCGACCACAAAAATAAAAATACAGATAAAAGTTGGCACTGAAAAGTTCTAGCTTACTTCCTAAAGTCTGACAAAATGACCAAACATTGAATTTTTGGGAAGGAATTCTTGGCTGAACTGAGAACTTTTCAGCACCACCTCATATAATAGCCCTATTCTATCAGTAATCATCTTGTCTTCATGATCCTGTTCTTTTATTGTTTTTCTCTTCATTTAAGTCTTCTCATTCTTTTCCACTCCCAGTAACTTTTTGCACCTTAGTAGCATTATTGCCTTGCTTAGGGAGAAATGATTAAAAAAAAAATACTTGCTTTAATTCCAGCCATTCATATTTTTTTGATTTACAATTAATTTCCGTACCAAATTCATTTACATAGCATTTACATTATACATATATTTGCCCTATTATCGATGCTTATATTAATTCCTGAATACTGACAATTCTTTTATTCCTGATTTTCATTGTACAACATACAAAATAAGGAGTTCTGAAACTTGAAAAAAGTATAAAAATTGCAAAATTTGATCCATAATCACTAATTCTTTAGCAACTCTTCAGTACCAGAAATATATTTTTTGTTGAAGTAGAAAATAACTAAAACAAAGTTGTATAATTATGGAATTATTAGGCAGTGGGGAAGTTAAAACCTTGTCTACATATAAAACTGGATTGAATAGCAGCTGATGTTAAAATACAAACATTGTTATTCTTTCATTTTTCCTGCTACCACCAGAATTTTCTGTATTACTCATGATATACAGTGTTGCACAAAAATTAAGTGAACTCTTAGTAAGATAAAGTTTTTTCAAATTTTCTCTTTTTTTCTAGATAATCAACAAATCTTAATTAAACTATATATTTGTTGTCTGTTTTACAAACAGTGTTTTGGGGTCTTTCTTGCTGTGAGTTTGAATTGAATCCTTGTTGCCACTGTTGTATCCTTAAAGAAAGTTACAAAAAGACAAAGGTGGTACTCAAGTGAAAGGGACAGCAACAAGGGTGTAGATGAAAGAAAGAAAGGTTTATTGTAAAAGTGAATACACTACTGAAAGATAGAGAATCGGTTATAACCTAGTAATTCCTGAAGCACATCTGCGATATATCCTGTGCTCACTATATATATTTACCAATATAGTCAGTCCACATATGCGATAGTGAGTGTGGGATATTCGATTACAACAATATTCATTAAGAAAAAACAGTTGGGCTGAATATATGGTTTAATTAAGTTTTGTTGATTATCTGAAAAAAAAAGAGATTTTTTTTTTTAATATTATCTTCAGGTTTCACTTACCTTTAAACAGCCTTGTATTAGAGTGAATGAAATTATTTATGAATTTGTTTCATGCATCCTATCAATGTTTACATGTCAATTTAATACAAGAATCTAAATTTATCTTATAGTGAGACAATTGAGATCTGCTAGAATCCATCGTTCTTGAAAAGATGCCTTCTTGAAATGAATGCAAATGCCAATAAGTAAACAAAAAAGATGAGGGCTCAAAGTAATAGTATATTATAACTGGGTCTAGTTCTCTATTTTTTCTTTCTTTCTATTTTCTTGATAGAAAGAAAATTTCCAATTCTTAAAATACCTTAACTTTTTTTATTTAAGCGAATGTCATATTGGAAAAAATTAATGCCACAACAATTAGTGTTATCACCATTCAAAGTTTGATTTCAGCATAATTATTTTTAACAGAGTGCATTTTACTGTAGTCAGGTACAATATACCTATTAGTACTTATGTAGGTTGCACTAATTCCTGACTGCTGACAATCCTTTTCTTTTTGACTATGCTAAAACTTTACCTGCATGCTTCATGTAGAAATTAATAGACAATAACAAGGATACATAACTGCAAGTGGAAGGATTTGTTCAGGTCACCAAAATATATTTGGTCAATTATTTGGTCAATACCAGTTGCCAAAATACTAAACACATATACAAGCAATGAAAATATGTGTCACTTGGTACTTAAATTTAACAATTTATATACACACACCTGAGATTGGTCAGATCAAAATTTGCATATCCTGCTAATTTCTGTATAAACACACTTAGAAACATGTAGGTATTTCAGGACAAGGAAAATGACTATTTTCATTTTAACAATAATTTTCCTAAATTCTGTAGCCATCAAATGTTTATTTAACTTCTTCAAATTTGATTCTATGTAAGCATATTTTAACAACTCTACAAATATTCCTATAAAAATACATCAAGCCAATGCTACTTCAAAGTGTGGTATACATACTGGCATCAATATGGGAGCCATCACCTGTTGGTACATGAGAGTTTTCAAAAAACAAAGAAACAGTAGCCACATTCCATGCCAAAGGAAACTGCCAGGATATCTAACTCAGGTTTCTTTAACATTTTAATTTTAGTTTTATATTTATTATGGTTACATTTTTCAATTACTCGTTCATGTCAAAAGTCATTGCCATACTACTAATGAATGCAATATAATGAGCAACAAAACAGTGAAATAAAATATGCACAACAACACCATTATGATGATGTGGCATGTGACTCTATGAGAACCACACCTAGGAATACCAAAAAGCCATTTTCATGGACATATATTCCTAATTTGACCTTTAACAATATTCCACTGATTGTGGAAAAAAAATAATAGCCACATGGATTTTAACCTAAATTTTTAAAATTAGCATTTAATTCCTTATATTCATAATCTATCTGGTATAAATGTATAATACTATGAATGTTCAAATAATATCAAAGACATCATATTCTCATGTTTAGTACAGATAGTCTCAAAATGACACTGAAATAGAACATATCCCCAAAAAAAATTTTAGGGGAGAATTAACAATTCCGAATGCCCCACCCTCATCCTGAACCCCTCAGCTGGAGTGGAAAGCTTTATTCCCCAATCCTTCATACTGTTGGTTCACCACATCAGATAGTTTGAGAAGCACTGCCTTAAGCATTAAATCAAGAAGAGATTTTAATATATTTTGTTCTTGACTTACTTTGACAATAACCCACTCCACAATTCTACCATCTGAAGATATGGAAAAGAAACTGGCATTTCCTTCCAGATTGTCTTTCTGCCAACGAACCTGAAGAAAAGAACAAATTGAAAAAATCAATAATCATTTATATCACAATAAAATATCATGAATATTAATGCTGTGTACTAAATTATTCCACAATTTATTGGAACTGATATCCTAATCTTTCTGTTTTTTTTGTATTTTTAAAGTCATAGTTTTTGGACTTTCTCAGTATTGCTTGATTGTTGTGCTGTTTATTCCAAAATGGAACTACTTCTCAATTCTGAGCATCAGTACCATAAAATCATGCAAGTGATTGACTTGTTTTCTATGGTTTATCAACCTTTTGAAGGTTATTTATAGCCAGAAAATACTTTGGGATTGTAAGAATATTTTTGAGATAATAATGATTTTACTAATACAAGTCCTACTATTTAAACCATAGCTGGAGGAAGAGAAGAGATGGATTAATACCTTTCCTAATGGTATTTGTGCTTAAGTGAATATAACAAACCTAGCTAGAATTGAAACTTGGCTTTCCAATTTCCAATTCCAAGATTTTGTCCATTACACCACCTGCACATCCAAACTTACAGCACCCTGTATTTCTAAGCAGTCACCCATCTACTGACCAGGCTCAATGTTGCTTAACTTTGGTGAGTAGATGAGAACCAATAATATGGCTGTAAGCCTTAAGATCATGTGAGAATATTTTTCAGCCATACAGAAAAAAAATTATAACATTATTTAAGTAATGACAGAATTATTCATGCATAAATATACAAAAGGGCTTTCTCTCAATTTTTTTAGTGACCAGACGCATGAAAACCCACATTGTATCTCTATTCTTGCTTGTCTGTGTATGCAGCAAAATCTGGGAAAGACAAATTGCAAGATCACAAGGAAATGCAAGGTGAAAATAAGCACCAAGACAAGAAATGAAGATTTCAACCTTGTTTTCAATAGATTTATGTAGTTATTCAGGGCTTCATTTGCACAGTCTGGGTGGGTAATAATGCTTCTGACATCTTGTAGTTTAAATGAGGCTCTAGTACTTGGTTGTTGTTCATACAATTCAAAATACCGCTGATCCAATCCACCGTTATTTCTTTCTGCACACTTCAAAATGTAAACCCATCTTCCTTTCTCACTGCTTCAGCCCTCTTTTATCAAACCAACACCACAGTCAACCAACCAATCAGCGTTCTTCACTTTTATTCTTAGTTACCCAGGTAAATAGCCTCCTCCAACCAATCAGCACATGACTTTCTATTGGTTGAAGCATGCCAAACTGTGCAAAAAACCCTTGTTCTTACACATACTGCTGGAATAGCTAGACGGGAGAGTAATGCCATTTTCAAGGAGCAAAATTGCTGATGTCATGGGCAACAGGTTGAAGTAAGACCCTTATTTTCGTTTGCACCAGATGCAAGCCACTCTGGCTCACTTGCTTCTATGGGACTGTTCATCACACATCTTAGACTAACAGATCAGTTTCGTCCTACCAACTTTCTATTGCAACACCATAATATACAGCTGGCAATTTTAATGATTAGCATCAGAACTACACACAAAGGACATTCTGTCACACTTAATGAGAAGTTCAGAACGGAATTACTTCAATCCTAACTGTGACTGTTAAGCTTGTGACCGGAAATCCACAATATCCAGTTTTGTTGTCATTTGTTCCCAAAAGTTTTCATTTATTTGTCTATTATTTTATTCTCTTTTTGTCAAGTGAGTGATTGCCTTGAAAACCCCAGACCATAGTCTTTATTGCTGGTCATATAACATGAAACACTAGAGACTTATATAAAATCAGACTGTCTAGGATAGGAGTGTAATATCTGTGATCTATAAATATCTATCTATCTATCTATCTATATATATAAAATAAAACTTTAGTCTTAAGGTATGCTATATTTATGAGTTAAAGTGCTCAATATCAGGGACAGAGCATATGTAAATATAAAAGTGGATATTGAGATGGTCACCAGCTAGTGGTGACAGTCTGTTTCATGCTTAAATGCAATTGTCAAGTAATGTGCATTGTGCTTTAGCTCAATTATTTATATATACTGGACAGTTATGCATTATGGATAGGGCTATTGTATTATTCTAACAGTTATGGTTGGGTGTTAATGGTTATCTTCCAAATTATTCTAGGGGCTATTGAATGGAAATAATTGTGGATCCTAATGCAGCTTTGTGGCTATTTTATAGTGTTGTTTGTTAACTTTATTACTAGTTGCTTTGTTATTTGTTGTTGATTATATGCACACATCTTCCAACCACCTGCCATCTATATTCAAACAGATGCCAAAATTAATTAACTGCAGGTTTTCTGACAATTCTTACAATGAAACCATATTTAACGAAGCTAAAAAAGACTATGAAACAGCTCTAAAAGATAGTGAATTCCTGGCAACACTTACATACTCACCACAGAGCCCAAAAAAAGCCAACAGGAAGAGAAATATCATATGGTCCAACCCACCATACAGCAAAAACATAAAAACAAACGTAGGAAAAATATTCTTTAAACTCTTGCACAAACACTTTCTGGAATTAAGCACACTCCACAAAATATTCAACAAAATCACAGTAAAAATCAGCTACAGTTGCACTGAGAACATAGCACAAATAATAAAAAAAGCACAACTGGAAAACTATTAACAAACCACTCAAACAAACTAAACACACGTGTAACTGCAGAATAAATAGTGAATGTCCCTTAAACAGTAATTGCTTACAAAACAACATAATATACCAAACCATAGTAAAATCACCAGATAATGAAGAAAAATATACATAGGAGTAACTGAAGGACACTGGAAACAAAGAAACTATGCATACAAGACATCTTTGACAAATAGTAAATACACAAACAGCACAATGCTTTCTAACTATATCTGGAAAATTAAAAACAAAATGCAAATCACAGCAAAAATATCATGGAAAATAAGGAAAAGAACATCAGCCTACAACAATCAATCCAAAACCTGCAAACTTTGCTTGGAGGAAAAAATACCTATTATTACCTGCCCGGACCTAAACAAACTACTAAATAAACGATCTGAACTCATCTCAAAATGCAGACATGAAAACAAATTTTTACTATGTTACTTAAAAATCAAAAACTGAAAAGAATAAAAATAAACAAAATAAAAATAAAAAACATGTAAAATAAATTAACCTAAGCAAATAATAAACAAATTAACAAACCACTCCTGCTATAACAACTGTTAGAATAGACTACAATAAATAATAAATGAAAAATAAATAAGAAAATACAAGTAAAAATAATCAATCAAAATAAATAAATTAAGTAAATAATAAACAAATTAACAAACTGTAGCAAATGAGTCGACTTCAACAGTGTAAGGGACGCAACTCTTTCCGTCTGAAAATGTCTGACACGCTGCAATGCAAAGCCGTGTACACCAAACACGGATGTAATGCCATTCTGCCAATTTCTCCAAGCAACCTGCTTTTATGGAGACCAGACACACCTCATTAGCATGTGTGTAACGCGACTTTGCGTGACTGCACGAGACCGTGAATATTAAAAGTCACGGACGCTATCTTGGATCTTTTCTTTCCTTTCTCAACCCACAGGCCAGGCAGATGCGAGGGTGTTTGTGAGGTAAACCATTTCTATTTTCCCCACATTCCCCCCTGATCTCATGATCACAAAGTTGACAGGGAGGCGGCGATCGCGCCGGGTGCTTCTTTGAAGAGTGACGACGAGCCTCATCGTTGCTTGTGCTCCTGTCCGAGGTCTGAGGGTCGAAAAACACCGCGTCCCTTGGAAGGCTACTGATATCCGTGTCACTGCCTGATGGAGCTGGCGTGAACCAGAGCGATGCCTCACTGGTCTCAGATTCCGATTCGCTCTCATCGTCCAGCGGTGGTTGCGACTGCGTCGCCAGACGCAGGTCCTTAACGTGACGGGGCACACCGTTGACCCGTACTGCTTGTGGGCTGATCACCTCAGTGACGCGTCCGGTTCCGTATTTCGTTGTACACTTGCTGTGCGGGTTTTTAATCCAGACGATATCGCCTTTCTTCAGCCTCTCTCCGTTACTTTCAGTTCCGTCAGCGGGTTGGTCTCTATGCCCTTCACTCTGACGTGGTACCTATGCAATGTGTCTGCTGGTGCCGTAGAGGGTGAGACATCATCCTTTGGGGTCACGTTGTATAAGTAGACCGCCTCAGACACCGCCGCAGCCCGTCCTGGCTGCGATGGTCTTGACGGTCCTGTGGTTCGCTCGATGATTCCATTTCCACCGGTATGTGGGCGCACGAACCGTGGGGTGCACTCCCCAGCCATCCGCAAACCTCCGGAATTGCTCGCTGGTGAATGCGGTGCCATTGTCAGTTAATATCCTCTATTCAAGGAAGATACTGTTTAACTGACGGATGATAGTGGCTGCATCTTGCCGACGCAGCAGCTGCCATATCGCAAACCTGGATGGACTGCAATCAATTAGTGTCAGGAAATCCTCGCTGTTGTGGTGAGTAACATCTATTGCCAGCCGGCTCCAGTGGCTCCTCACGCTCAGCTGCCCTTTCTTCCAGCGAACAGGTGCTGGGTCTATAGACTGGCATGCCACGCAGCTTCTGACCACTCTCCTGACGTCTGTCTTTTGTACTCCTGGGTCAACCAACTTGGCGAAATACAGTGTCCGCTTGACTCCAGGGTGCCCACTTTGTTGGTGGACTTCTTTGATTCGATTAAATCGAACGGGACTCACGGACGCAGCGCAGACGGGTTGCACGGGCTCAATAGCTTTCTTAGCGGCGTCAAGCCACCTTTGGGGCACCCTCGTTAAACAATCTGCTTTGTTGAGTCTAGATTTGACCAGTGACACCTCCATTGTCAGTGCATACTCTTGCACTAGCTTCACGATCGTGTCGAGCCGTCGTCGGATAAGGATCTCGCTGATGGCTTTAGTCCGCACACTGGCCCTCCCAGTCAGGGTATCAGAGATCCACTTATAAACGCAAGCGGAATCGGTGAACAGACGCAGGGTGGTCGACTTCCAGAGGATCGCCAAGTTGAT